CTTGGTGATGATGAATTCCTTGAACTTGACCTTATCTGAGAAGTGCTTTATCTGCCCTTCCATTCTAAAGGAAAGCTTTGCTGGATGGAGTAATCTTTGATGTAGGTCCTTGCCTTTCATGACTTGGAATACTTCTTTCCAGCCCCTTCTTGCCTGTCAGGTCTCTTTTGAGAAATCAGCTGACAGTCCCATGGGAACTCCTTTGTAGGTAACTGTCTCCTTTTCTCTTGCTGCTTTTAAGATTCTCTCCTTCTCTTTCATCTTGGGCAATGTAATTATGATGTGCCTTGGTGTGTTCCTTCTTGGGTCCACCTTCTTTGGGACTCTCTGAGCTTCCTGGACTTCCTGGAAGTCTATTTCCTTTGCCAGATTGGGGAAGTTCTCCTTCATTATTAGTTCAAATAAGTTTTCATTTGTTGCTGTTCTTCTTCCCCTTCTGGTACCCCTATAATTCAGATGTTAGAACGTTTAAAGATGTCCTGGAGGTTCCTAAGCCTCTCCTCGTTTTTTGAATTCTTGTTTCTTCATTCTTTTTTGGTTGGCTGTTTCTTTCTTCCTTTTGGTCCACTCCATTGATTTGAGTGCCAGTTTCCTTCCCATTACTATTGATTCCCTGTATATTTTCCTTTATTTCACTTAGCATAGCCTTAATTTTTTAATCTAATATACAACCAAATTCAACCAGTTCTGTGAGCATCCTGATTGCCAGTGTTTTGAACTGTGCATCTGATAGGTTGGCTATCTTATCTCTGCGTTGCTTAGTTGTATTTTTTTGGATCTTTGATCTGTTTTTTCATTTGGGCCACTTTTTTTTTTGTCTTGATATGCCTGCTATGTAGTAAGGGGTGGAGCCTTAGGTGTTCACCAGGGCAGGGTAACCTACTTCACTGGGTTGTGATGCTGTATGTGGGGAAGGGGTCCAAGAGGGAACAATGTGTGCTGGATTTCAGTAACTTCCCCTACTACCCACAAGCAAAGTGGGCCATTCTGGTGCTGATTCCTGGGTTTCCCTTTCTGGTGCTTCCCTGTGGGTTTCTCCAATGAACTCTCCTGTGAGGCCTGGAGTTTCTTCTGCTACTGCCTCAACTCCCACAGGTGTTTTCAATCAGAGGTTTGAGGCTTTATTTCCCTGCACTGGAGCCCTGGGTTGCACAGTCTGTTGCACTCACTCCCCAGTTGTTCCTCCCAGTTTATGAGCTCAAATGTGAGACTGCCTGCTCCACCAGCCACTGCCTTGCCAGGTCTGCCAGTTGCTGCCTTGTCAGCCAGTTGGAGCCTTGCCTGCCCCGCTCCACAGTCCGTTGCCTCACTGGGGCTGCCTTGCCCACCCTGGTCCTCCAGGCACCACCTTGGTCTCTGTGGCTCCTACCGGTCTGGATGAATGTGTCTTCTTTAACTTCCTGATTGTCAGACTTCCATACAGTTCAGTTTTCTGTCAGTTCTGGTTGTTTTTTTATTTTTAAATTGTTGTCCTTCTTTTGGCTGTGAGAAGAGGCACAGTATGTCTACCTATGCCTCCATCTTGGCCAGTAGTCAATAATAATAGAACATTTTGAACATCCCAGTTTCCTTGAATCAATTTGTGGTTAATGTTCACTCCTACCTCATTGCTAAGCAACCACTTACCTGCTTTCTGTCTCTACAAACTGGATTTATCTATCATGATATGCATGATATATATGAGATATATATCTATATAGACATATATCATAGATATCATAGATATCTAGATATATATGGATATCATTTTAAAATCTCTCTCTAGCCCTCTTGATTTTCTGTTATAAGGGTCCCTGTAATTACACTGAGGTCACCCAGGTAACTCAGGAAAATCTCCTTGTCTGAAGATACTTCATTACATCTGCAAAGTGCCTTTTGGCAGCCAAGGTAACGTATTCAAATATTCCAGAGATTAGTACATGGAAATCTTTGGGAGGATATTATTCGACCTATGACAAAAGATATATGTGATATAGAATTTGCCAACAATTGATTCATAAGTCTTGAGCTGATTTTCATTGAGCATGCCCATCTCATGATACCGACTCATGTAAAGATGAGGCTGCACGAGACAGGTGTGCTTTGGGGGCAAGTGACAGGAAAGAGAATCTGCCAGTTCATCTGAATCTAGGTGAGTAGAGGCTCAGTTGTATATAGGCACCACTAAATACAGGGGCTGAAACACTATGAGGATTTCCTTTCAGATGATCAGCTTTATATTCTCAGACTGGTTGACTATACATACAGAGACATGGAAAACAGTAGCTCTCATTACTCACATTAGGTAGCTTCACTACTTAACTGAAGCTAGATTTGTTTAAGCTCCTATGTGTTAAAAAAAAACTTAGAAAAAGACTCTAATTGGTATAGGCATATCTTCTTTCCATGCTGGCCAATCAACTATGGCCAAGAGACAATGTGACTGGTGGCCCCTTCAGAACCACATTTGTTTAGTCAATTTATCAAACCTACTTTTACTATTGACTATGTGTCCTTATTTTAGGCTCAACTATCCCAGGATTCATAGGATCAGGGATATGGGTAAAAGCAGGTTGTCATATTTAAAATGCTGGTCTTCATAAACCTCACTGGGAACCTCATTTGTGAAGATGGTGAATGATTTAGGTGAGTGTATATCTGGGGAAACAGTGCCACAGGCAGAGGGTGAGGTTAATAGAAAGACTCTGAGGTGGGAGGATGTCTGAGGGAAATGTGGCTGGAGCAGAGCCAGTGAAGTGGGGCATATTAGCTAAGATGGGAAACAGATATCAGGGATCAACATGTGAGGTTTTTTCTGCCACTGAAGGACTTTTGCTTTCATTTACTGGGTAGATTGGGGAGTCATTGAAGGGTTTTGAGCAGACACATGATATGCTCTGACTTGAGACTTTAAAAAATCATTATGGCTGCTGGGTATGGCATGGATTGTAAGGTGTGAGGCAGCCTGCTTGGAGCTGACTTATGCCATTCAGGTGTGATACATATAGCTAGGACCAGGGCGGGGATAGCAGTGTAAGGGTTGAGAAGTCATCAGTTGTGCTATACCTTGAAGGTAGAGGCAAGATTTGTTGTCAGTCAGGATTTGGGTGTAAGAGAAGAGAGAAGCCAAGAATGTTTCCAGGGTTTGGGGCCTGAGCAACTGGAAGGAGGGAATTGCATCCACTGAGACAGGGAGTGCTGTGAATGGAGAAAATTGGGAAGGAAAGAGAACTTTAGAATGTTCTCTTTGCAATGTTCAAATTGAAAAATATTATAAGTTTCTGTTTACACTAGATAACTAGAATAGTCAAATTCATTACACAGAAAGGTTAATCTAGATTACCAGGAAATGTGTGGAGAGGAGAATGGGGAGTCAGTGTTTAATGGGTACAGATTATCATTGGGGAAGATTAAAAATATCTGGAGATGGATGGTGGTGATAATTGCAAAACAATATAAATGTACCTAATGCCACAGAACTGTGCACTTAAAAACAGTTAAAATGCCCTGGCTGATGTAGCTCAGTGGATTGAGCCAGACTGCGAGGCAGGGGATCAGTGGTTCGACCCCAGTTAGGGCACATACCTGGGTTGCGGGCCAGGTCCCCAGGGGTGGCACTCGGGAGGCAACCACACATTGATGTTTTTCTGTCTCTCTCTCTACCTCCCTTACCCTCTCTCCAAAAATAAATAGATAAATTTATTTGGTAAACTTCAGATTATGTATATTTTACCACAATGAAAAATATGGAGATGTTTGACATCCCAGTGGAATCTGCAGTTTGTGATACAGTCTGTATTGGAGGCAAAAACTCAGGGTCATAGACATATAAATACAGAAGGAACAAGTGTGAATATGAAGGAGAACCATAGACAGAGCCATGGGGTGCTCTGAGAGAGGAGTCACCCATAAAGAGCCTGGGCAGGAGAGACCAGTGATGTGGCAGGAAACTAGGAGAGCTAGTGTTCCAAAATCTAAGTGGAGAACGTTTATCAGTGAAGATACTAGCAATTCTCAAGAAGAAAAATGTGTGACCCCTTCTGAGGTACAGGTCCTTCCAGAAAGAGCCAGAGTTGTGCACTGAGAATACTGAGACCATCTGGCCAGAGGAACCCTAGATTTTGTTGAACCCCAAGAGCCTCCACTTCTTATTTACACATGAACTTTCCAATCTGCTGCCACAGCCAATCCACAGGAGTGACACTTCTTGCTGATTCTGCACCTATCCCACAGCTGGCCCAGCACTGAAGTAGATTTATCCATTTTAGCATTTTGAATGTTGGCTTTCTCTCTCTCTAGATAAAGAAATACATTTTGGGGAGGAACTATTTGAGGGTAAGTTGTGTGGACCCTGAGAAAAGAGATACTTACTAAGAAGGGCCTCTGGTGGCTTAACTGGCCTTAAATTAAAAAAAAAAAAAAAGAGCCTAGCAGCTGTTTCTAAACAGGGCCTCAGACACAAAATGAACTCCATGCAGAAGCCTGAACTGGACTGCCTTCCTGCACTGTGTTCCTGCCATCTGAGCCAGCCCCTATAAAGGAGTTCCTGGAATCCTGTTTCAACCAATGGGACTGAGGCTTCCCTGTCCAATTGGAGCTGTGTGGCAATCAACATCTTCACCAACCAATCAGGATGATGTGCTTTGGACCAATCAAACTACTAGGATTTGGAGTCCTCATCTGCATGAAGATGGACCAATCACGGACCAGGGGTAGGGACTTCTGTCTATTTAAGTCAGCTTTCCTCTTCTTCTGAGAGTGCACTTTCCCATTCCATGGAAGACAAGGGTGTATTTCCCTGGCTGGAGCTAAAACAGAAAATGTCTCATTGGAGCAGAGCAGAGCAGCATGGAACCAGAGAAGGGAGATCACACCAGAGCAGAACAGAGCTGCCTAGCCAAAGAGGGGCCTCATCTCAAGGCCTCTTCACAGCTGCAGCTATGCTGCTTTGTAATTGAACTATATCAATATTAAGCTGCTTCACAGTAGTGCTGTATCACAATTCAGCTGTTTTGCAGGGAATAAAGTTTTTCTTCACTGTACCCCGAATTGGGGATTCCTACTGGTATAATTGGTGTCAATGACCATTGGTTAACCAGGAGATATGTTTTGTGATGATACAGATTTAACAAACAGAGTAAGATTTATCCATGAGATAAATCTATTATACCTGACAGATAAAGAATACACGTTGTTTTCAACCATATTTGTAAGATCCATAAAACCTGGTCATATGCGAGACCTATCAATTGAGGCTGAAATTCCTTAGAACTGAACCTTTCTACAAGACACGTTTAGAGCAGTTTGGAGTTTATTTTTATGTTACATGAAGCCCAGAAATAAGCAACCCAGGGCTGGTACAGCCAAATAATACTGTATGTCCCTGCTGTGTAATTGGTAGCCTATGACTGTCATCCTTTTGGTTTCTTTTCTGAGGAAGAAGAAGAGATAAGATAAAGGAAAAGTGTTAAAGAGAAAATGCCATGTGAGATGCTCCCCTTTCTTTAAAAGCCACATGCAGTGACCTCTCATTATTTCTTATTGGACAGGACTGTGGGCTCATTGGCACTCATAGCTGCAAGGAAAGTTAGGAGATGAGTCCTTAAAAAACTCTCCACATTGTCAACTTAAACACAATTGTAATTGTTACTTTAAGGAAGGCAGGGCAGTGACTTAAAGTGACTTACTATAAGTCACTGCAGTCATAAATAGCAATGGATTTCGGATAGCAACTTTTGTATTTGACACATTAGGCCACAAAGCAAATCTCCAACAATCTTTTGTCTGAATTTATGCCATTTAAAATCTGTATCATGAAGACCATATATTCAGTGCACAATGCAATTAAATAAAAAATGTGTAAAATAGGCAGAGTCTGCACATTAAAAAACACATTTCTAAATAATCTATATGTCCAAGACACTTTGATGAGAAGTAGACAATATTTAGTACTAAGTTACAATGAAAACATTATCTATCAAAACCTTTGTGATGTAAATCAAGGGAAATTTAGAGTGCTACACTACATTTAATACTCATCAGCTGATGAGTTGTCAAACTTTAAGGATGAAACATTCACCAATAAAGACAATCACAGAACTCTAACACTTACAAAGTTGGCTAGTATAATATGTCTTTAGTGACACTGGTTACCAAAGGTTTCGATCCAGTGTGAGTTCTAAACTGTGGAGTGAGGTGTGAAGGACCTCTTAAGGCTAGCCTGTGGCCATTTCATTCATGCAGCTTTGGCCCTGTATGTATTCGCTTGTGCATTATAAGGTTAGTGCTGGTGCTGAATGCTTTTCCACAATGAACACATTTATAGGGCTTTTCCCCTGTGTGAGTCCTCACATGGACCCGAAGGCAAGAGGAATTCCTAAAGGCCTTCCCACAGTCTTTACACTTATAGGTTTTCTCTCCAGTGTGTGTCCTCTTGTGCACAATAAGGTAAGAGCCTGTGCTGAAGGATTTTCCACATTGATTACACTCATAAGGCTTCTCTCCAGTGTGAGAGCGTTGATGTTTCTTAAGGGATGACTGATCAATAAAGGCCTTTCCACAGTCACTGCACTCATAGGGCTTCTCTCCAGTGTGGGTTCTCACGTGTTTTTGCAGGGATGAGGGCACAGTGAAAGCCTTGCCACATTCCTTACAGTCATAGGGTTTCTCTCCAGTGTGTGTTCTTCTGTGCACATTAAGATGAGAGCTCTGGCTGAAGAATTTTCCACAGTGATCACACTCATAAGGTTTCTCTCCAGTGTGTGATCTCACATGTTTCTGGAGGGAAGAGTGAAAAATGAAGATTTTCCCACAGTCACTACATTGAAAAGGTTTCTCTCCAGTGGGAGGTCTCACATATTTCTGAAGGGACCAGGGGCCTGTGAAAACCTTCCCCTGTTTGTTATGTTTTGAGCCTTCATCCACAGTACACAATTTTTTATGCACGCTGTGGGAAGATCTTTTTTCATAGTCACTGCAGTCACAGAATCTCTCTTCAGTAGTTTTTTGCACATGCACTGAAAAGGAAGGCTGCAAACTGAGAGATGCAAGACACTGATCACACTCATAAGGTCTCTCTCCAGTGAGAGTTCTGAAGTGCTCCCTGAGGGAGGAGTCTTGATTGAAAGCTTTGCCATAATCATTAAAGTCAAAAGTTTTCTCTTTGGTGCAAGTACTCACATGACTCTGAAAAGTTAAGGGACAGCCAAAGTCTTTCCCATATTCTTTGTATTTGCAGCATTTCTCTCCCTTGCAATACCTTGTACCAATAAGGGGACAGTTCTTTCTGAAGAATTTTCTACAGTGATCAGATTCCAAGGGTTTCTCACCAGGGTGAGTTATTGCCTGTTGAATAAGGAATAAGAGGTGACCTAAGGCCTTTTTACTTTCATTACACTTACAAGAATTCTTTGCCATGTGGATTCTGCCCCATATAGTAAGTACATTATTATGATTGACATTTTTACCAGTTTTAGGGCATATGTGCAATTTTTGCCCTATTGATTCTTTCAAGTTGAACGAGTTGAATGCTCCCCAAGGCTCCACTGTATTCATTCCTATCAAAGGGCATCATCCTAGATACAGAGTTTTTGTAATTGTAAGGCATAAATGAATTATGTATTAAATACTTAATAACAAAAATCACACCTAATTAAATGTTTGTTCTTTGGCATTCTCTGTGAAGTTGCTTACTATGAGGCAGCAAGTGTTGAGGTCAGATTGGAGATTTCTACAGTTTTGTGAGATATATAAAGTCTTTACTGAGATAGCTTTTTGGTGAGTGAATGTCACTTGCCTCAACTGTTTCCCCTTGTGTGGGTACTACTGCTGTTTTAATTTATTGAAATTCACAGACGTTTCCTGCCATAAAAACCCAGAAATTATCTCTAGTGAATCTTACCATTTTTATGCCATTGGAAGTCTTTTTCTTAGTGACATTCTGCATAGGAATTGCATGTTTTGGTTTAAGTTGAGTAGCTGAGTCTGAAACTGAAGGAGGAAAATTTTTATAACTACTGGAAAAAAAAGTAGAGCTGAAAGAAACAAGAAGTCAGGTACCCTACAGATATGTTTTCAAATAATAACACTAAATACAGAAAAAATGTGAGAGTCATGACCAGAGTCACTATTTTAGGAACTAGTTCCTATGACAGGAACAAGCAATGGAAATGGGAAGTATTTTACTTAGAATGGATTCTGGAGACTTGAAACAATAAGAGAGGGAATTAAAGCAAAGTAGGGTGAACTGAACAAAATGTATTCAAGCAGATGTGACCTTGAAAGAAGAATTAAAAGTCTTTCTCTGAGACCAAATAAAAAAATGAATGAAAGGAGAGATGGTGAAAGATGGTGCAAGCTCACACAATGGCTTCAGCCTCTGTTCCCCAAACTGACATTCCCAAATGTACCACCCCTCATCCACTGTGGCTGCTCCACACAACGAGCCCTTTCTGCCTGGGGCTCACCTGAACAGGAGATTTGGAGATCTGGCTCAACTTGGAGATTTCTTCTCTCCTCCATCCTCAGCTCTTTGTGCTCTACTTCAGTTACCAGACTGTGTTTGTAGATTTGATACCCTGCCCATGGGAAAAGGCGTGTGATTTTGGGGCACCATGAAGGAGGCAAGAAATCTTTCCATAAACCTGATTCTAACACTCTGGTCTGAAGTAGACAGGCAAGTGCAATTTTAGGAGCAGCAAACAGATCAGATCAAAGATCTTTCATAGGGCCCCAAAACAACCACCCACATTCCATGTCCCACATGGGACTGACCCTTGAAATCCAAGACCAAGGTCAGATAGATATACACTGCAAATTATCTAAATCTTGTAATGAGAGAGAAAATGAAATCAGTGCATTTTCATGGGAAGCCATGAGACTGCCCCACAAGGGCAGAGACCATCCATTTTGTGTTCATCACATATTGTTATTCCTTTCAGAGATACTGGAACACACTGTGTGATAAACTATGTACTGTGTGAAAAAATGAAGAAATCAGGCCAATCTTACCCACAGAGGCCACGTTCCTCAAGTTCTCTATCATCACATCTCTGTACAGGATTTTCTGAGCAAGGCCCAGTAGTGCCCACTCCTCTGGGGAGAAGTCCACTGCCACTTCCTCAAAGGTCACCAAGTCCTAAAACATCACATACATTCTGGCTCAGCCAAGGACCATCTCTAACACTGAAGTAGAAGAATGGGAGAGTGAGGCTGCCAGGGCTGGGGAAGGAGACTCAGTGCATAAGGAAGCTAAGCCGTGCTTCAGAGGCCTCTCACTGTCTGCCCCAAGGCTCAGTTCTTGGAACTTTCCTCTTTCACTCTCACCCTCTGGGCCGTTTCATTCAGGCTCATGGTTTGAGCAGCTTTTCTAACACACAGTTGACCTGACATTTCCACACCTAGGTTCTGAGCACTCTTTGGGTCTTATTCAAGATCCAGTACAGACTGAGTGTAGAACAGGATGAGAAAGCATATTTAGAAAATGAATAAATAATTATCCCAGTGAAAAAATCTTTCTTTTCTTCATTGCACCCTGCAGAATATGAAACTAATACTCAACCCGGAGGATTGTCTGGAAAAAAAATATAACTAATGTTACAGTAGTAGAAGGCTTTCCTAAGCATTCTCTCTCTCATTCTAAGAAGTTCAGAGAACTGGGGAAGCCTGAGGCCAGCCTAGTAGGGCTGTGAAGCTGTGGGTCATGGGCAAGAGATGTGTCCTTTGTGAAGAGCAATGCTTGTTTTTGGAAAGAGAATAATTTCCCATATACCTGTGACCAAGTTGTCAGCAATCCTGCATCCATTCTTCCTCCTCTGTGACTCCCTGCTGACCAGGCAGAGTTCTGAGCAAGCAGAGCCAGAGAAAAGAAAGGAGCCATAAAAGTCTTATCCTGACAGACATTCAACACCCAGGGACCTGCGAGCTTCCTTATATAGCATCAGAGTAAACTGCTTACACTTGCACATCAACAGTTCGCTCACCATTTTATCTCCCTATCCAAGAACAATTAGGAATTGGGAATAGAACTGTATGTACTTATTTTTTTCTTTTTAAATTTTTTCCTAAACTGAACCACGGGAAACATAGAGTCAGTAACAACTCAAGAGCAATGAGCCCTAAACCTCTCTAGTGCCAACATGCTCCTAAATACCATCTGCCCATGGAGAAACTAGAACTCATTTGGGAAATAGCAGAGTCCAGTGTAGAACAGTAAATATGCACAATGATCCTGGAACATCTTATACCAGAAAGCAAGGAGCTTATCAAAGGTTGATGGGGTTTTATCAGAAAGATACTTAAAAGGGATCCTCTGGCTTTGGATGGAACAATTTAATACAAAATAATGCCTGAAGTCAATAGAAATATATCAAATGTAAAACAAAATCATGAGCTTGTAATGATACTAAAAAAAAGGACCCTCAATGATTACTATTGAAGGTGGCCAGGATAGCAAGTCATAATTCTGAAAATTCATAAAAGGAGAAGAATCAAGCATGTCACTCCTCCTTTAGGAAGAGTATTTTATCATTAGCAAAATTTGCGATAAGGGAAAATTTTCCTTTATAGAAGAACCACAGAAGCTTTATTAGAAGCTTCATTTATTATGAAAATACTAGAATTGGAAAGTCACCATTCTGCAGCCACTAATGAATGAATGGAGGCAACAACAATCAATGGCTACTAAGATATTAGGTGAGAAGTAAATAGTGATGTTTATTTTCACCTCAATTTTTTTTTTTACTTTGGGGGGTGGGGAGAGAGGGGAAAGAGAGAGAGAGAAAGAGAGAGAGAGAGAAAGAGAAAGAGAGAGAGAGAGAGAGAGAGAAACATCTATTTGTTGTTCCATTTATTTATGCACTCACATTTATTTATGCATTCTTGTATGTGCCCGGACTGGCACTGAGCCCACAACCTTACGTATTGTGATGACACTAATGAACTGAGCTACCCACTCAGGGCTGTTTTCAACTTTTGAATTTGAAAAACTTTCAACTTAAAGAAAAGTTGTAAGAATAGGGAGAATATGATCAACTTCCACCAACTCTTCACATGACCATTCACCAACTGTTAAAGTTCTGTTCAGCTTCCTTTCTCTTTGTCCTCTCTGTAGGGGCTCCTGAGAGGACTCTCCTTAAAAGGAAACTACAGATGTCATGACCCTTTTCCACTACATCCTCGAGAATGTCAGGGGAACTTGAGCATTCTTGAACATAACCACAATAATGAAGATCAGGAACTCTTAACATGGGTTAAATATTATTGTCTACCACACAGCCCTTATACAGAATTTCATAAACTGGCCCAATAATGTGACTTTATAGCAATAACTTTCCCACTTCGCTGATGTTTTCAAATTATGTTTCTTTAATCTGGACCAGGTCCTCGGTCTTTATTCATCTTTGAAGATTTAAATATCCAGGCCAAATTATTTTACAGACTGTGCCTTAGTTTTGGCTTAGATGATGTTTTCTTGGGTTAGGTTTGGAGAGTGCATTTTTGAGTGAAGTTTTAGATAACTGATGTGTGTCCTCCTCAGCACATCACTTCAGGAGGCATTGATGCTGGTTTGTCTCACTTTTGGTGGAAATTTCAATCACTGGGTTAAAGTGGCATGAACCAGGATTTTCCATTAAGTTACCCTTTTTCCTTTTGTAATTAATGAGGAATCCTATTAATTAGGTGATCATTTAAGACTCTATAAATAAGATGAAGAATTTTATAAATGAAGGATCAAGCTGATACCAGAATCAACTGATTAATCTTAACCTGTCCAAGGAGGCAACTGGATATCATGTGAGTTCTGACATGATTCAATGAGAAACAGCACCAGCTATTAAAAATAATCTGACAAATCCCTTAATTTAATTAACTGCTTAGAGAGGAAGGAGAAGAGACTCCAACATGTTAAACAACACCCAAGCATACAATTAGCCACCCCAGTATGGAGTGGAAAGAGGATCTCAACTATCGCTGAGACACGTAACTCCACTGCAGTGTGTGTACCTTAAATCTTGATTCCAACAACGCCAACTGTAAACACACATTTTGAGACATTTGGAGTGAAATGAATACAGACAGGTGTTATGTGATACTGGTAAGAAGAAAGGCAGCCCCTGACATCCAGTTATGTCTGGGTGTTCTGTTCAATATAAACAATTTTACAATAGCAACAGCAGACAAGGCCACTGCATGACCATGAAATATTAAGGGAAAAACAAGGCACTCTGTAATCATTTCTGAACACAGGAAAAACATAAGCATCTAGGCCTCAAAGAGGACCAAGTAATAGATCAAAGTAAAAAAACAACTGTATGATCACCTCAATGATACGAGTAAAAATGTTTGATAAAACGCAACACTGCATCATGACAAAAATAATCATAGCCAACTCACTAAAAGACAACTTACAAAATGGGCAAAAGAATATTCTCCTTAAGAAAATACAAATGGCCATCAAACAAATGAAAGATGGTTATCATTAACTACAAGAGAAATACAAACCCAAACCACAATGAGACAGCACTTCATACCTATTTTGATGGTTATAATCAAAAAGACAAATAAGTGTTGGTGAGGATGTGGAGAAATCAGAACTCATATTTTCCTGATGGGCATGTATAATGGTGCAGCTACCTTAAAACACTCTGCACTTCATTACATAGCTAAACATGGATTTATCATATGAATGAACCATTCCATGCCTCGGTATATATCCAAAAAAAATGAAAATATAAGTCCACACAAAAACTTGTATAGAATGCTCACAGAAGTCACTATTTATAACATTCACAAATTGGAAATAACCCACATGTCCATTCCATAACGAGTGGATAAACAGAATGTATCAATACAATAGACTATATTTGGCCATAAAAAGGAATTATGTACTGTCACATGGCACGAAGTAGATGAACCTTGAAAACCTTATGCTAAATGAACAAAGCCAGTCACAAACACATTGTATGATTCTATTTATATGAAATGTTTAGATGGACAAATCTATAAAGACAAAAAGTAGGTTGGTTGTTGTCTAGGTCTGGGGGGTAGGGGAGAGACTGCTAATGGGTATGGGGTTTCTTTTGGGGGTAGCAAAAATGTTACACCATTACACTGTGATGATTGAACAACTCTGGGAACATACTAAAACCCACTGAATTATATACTTTAAATTGATGCATTATATGTGAATTTTATCTTAATAAACCTATTATAAAAATAATCTTAGTAAACAAGGAACTGATGCCTTTAATGTGAAATTGTATCCAAAATGTAGAGCAAATACCTAATTTATTGGATGCAAACCCAAGGCCTTTATTTTGAGAGAAGGAAAAAGAAAGACAAGGGAAAAAGACAACTCCTGCTATTAAGTTGCAGAAGTTTTAGCCAGTAAAGCAAATTGGGAAGGGGAAGAGAAACAAGGGTAAGGAGACATAATAGTTTCTAAGGCTGTAGAGAAAGAATTAACCTGTCATTACTCACAGATGATATGGCTATATGTTAATGCTCAAAAGAATCTAAGGATAAACTATTTGATATTTAAGAGAACTGTAGCATGCCAGACACGAAATATACATTGTGAAGGCTCAAAATAGAACAAGCTTAATGGAGGGGAACAGTTGGCAGTATCTAGAAATAGTAGTACACAGAACCCAACAATTCACTTCTAAAAACCGACACTAGTCTAGAAATATGAAGAAACATGCTCAAGCGCACGCAGATAGGAACTCAGTCATCCCATGACTGAGTACAAAGAGGAGTAAGAAACTAGGGTGCACCCACATAACAGAGAACTCAAGTCCAGAAAAAAAAGTGGGGGAGGGGAAGACCTCCATGAACTGTTGAGTATTTCAAGCTTTGCTGATAATGGAGGAAGAAGAGGTACAGGAAGGGTCACTTTCTTGTGGAATAATAATGTCTAATTTGGGGAGGACTTTTCAAGAAGGAAATAAAGGGTACGGAAAAAAAAAAGAACAGCCGCGACGCCCTGTCCACATCTCTCTACCTGCCTCTAGCCAGAGACCCAAGGCCCGGGCGGCTGCCCCAGAACCCACAGCAACACTAGGAACCTCAGCAAGGGCTGTGCGGAGGGAGCAGGTCCCGGCTCTGGGAGGAAATGGTGGCCAGGGATGGTTTGGGCACTGTGGCTCAGGAGCAGCCGGTACTGGGAAGCACACTCTGACTCCTTCCTGCTCCGCTTTGCCTGGCAGCCCTGAGGACAAACGGACAGCACTTTGGGCTTGCGTTTAATAGCCCCAGTCCGTAGCAGGCTGTAGAAGCAGATGACACTGTGGTCCCAGGCTAGTCCCTGATGTGCAGTTCCTTCCGCTCTAGGGATGTGAGGGGCGGGGTCAGGACCAGGAGGCGGAGCCAGGATGGGGAGAAGTGCAGGGAAAATTTTAGCTCATTTTAGGGAAGAAATGGAGAAATAGCAATGGTCACCTCATAGGGCTGTAATGAAGATTAAGTGAGATGATTCATGGAAAGCTTTTAGGGCATTCCACAGCGTCCGGTAAGTGTAAAAAAATAACCAGAGGCTCTTCTCACTGACCCTACTGAGGTATGACTGTTTCTAGAAAGTTTCCACCTGATATTTACTAACAAAACCATTTGTCATATTATTGATCTTATTTAACAAATGAGAAATGAGTCTTAAGAAAGGCTAAGGCCCATTTAAAAATATATTTTATTGATTATGCTATTACAGTTGTCCCATTTTTTTCTCCCTTTTACTACCCTCTGTCCTGCACCCCCTCCCACCAGCATTCCCCTAGTTTAGTTCATGTCCAAGGGTCGTGCATATCAGTTCTTTGGCTTCTTTATTTCCTATACTATCCTTAACCT